AATTTTTTCAATTATTTTTCTAAAGTTGTTAAGTACATATATAACGGTATTTTGATTTGACTGCACAGATCTTGGGTTCGACTTCCAGCAAACGTTATTTTGGATTAAGCCTTTATTAGACCACTATTAGGAATTATTACTTTAAATTATAGTAAATTCAGATGTTTTGAATACATCGTGTAGGTAATTTTTCTTTATTATTTTGGTTTAACGGGTATATAATAAGTAACTGAACGTGCCGATAAAAGTATATTGATAAAAACAGTGTTATAAATTCGCATCTAAATCTAAAAAAAGAGATTTACTTTTACATCAAACATAAACGTGTTTTAATCTATGACGAATCTTAACTAAACATTCAATAACCTGTGGGCATTATTCAGCTATGAGTAATATAATCTGTGGCGTCTCTGCGGTCTCGATGCTTATCTAAATAGCTCTCGAAGATCTAGAGATAGCTCCATTGAAGCCCCAACCTCAATTAATACTTGTCTTACCTATGTTTACATTGATTATCAGTTCGGAGATTGATTTTGCAGACTAAATTCGATTTTGAGTCTTCCAGTTTCGTTGATTACTACAAAACCTTTAGTAAAAATTACGAGTTTAAATTAAGGTATTTGGCTGAAACATGCCTCTTTTATTGATTGAAATATTTCACCGAAAATGTGAAGGAAATATATATAACTTACAGTTTTAATTACATGGAAAGCTTTATCATATTAATTAATTATAAATAAATATATAAACAGTAAGTATAGTCACCGTGACCACGCACGCTGTAAAGCACGCGAAACGTCGGATAAATTTAAAGTTATGTTAAATAATTGTAAATTTATAATAATACATAACTTTAATCCGGTTAAAAAGTTTTTTTTATATATAAACAGTTCTTAAGTAGCTTGCGGAACCGCGCCTTGTAACATAATAACTCATAAATTAGCCACCCTTCTCTATAATAAATATTTGATAACACTTGTGAGTTCATTCGTTGTGTTATATATTTTACGTCAAAAGAATCATTTGATTACTGTAAAAACCACAAGAGTCCGAAATTAATAAACTAATACATTTTTTCTGTGCAATTTTCTGATACTTTTTTTAAATCAGCTGACTTATGACCTGATAGTCTTTGTGTTAAGTTTGTAAGCTATTCAAATATTCCGTTCGATAATTACTTGATTATAACTTAATTAAATATTACAGTTTTTAATTATCTTTTCGTGCTTTTGAACAATGTAACGAAGCTCTAAAACTGTTTAATCTCTCTAAAAGGCTAAGTCTCTTATAGGAATTACTATCTATGGGTCCCAAGACCAACAACGGCAGCAACAAATTCTAATCTCCGGCAAAAAAATGAATCAAATTTTAGCTTACCAACCACGCAAGATTAACTATTTTGTCAGAAATACCACGAGCGAAGATTAAATTACAAATATAATTTGGTTCCGGGAATCAAACAATAAAGTTAAGGTATAACACGATTCGTAGAGGATCCAAAAATTCTGTAGCAGTCATTAGCTACGCTTTTTCGTAGCGTTACGAAACTTTCAGCACGAATCAGAGGACTAAAACGAAAGTTAAGTTTTTCTTACGAGAAAAATACCTTTTGGTGTAATAAGCTTTTTATGTAGCACATTACGTTTGATCCCTTTTATGGTTGCTGTTACTCGAATTCTTGAGGAAAATTTATTTGAAAAAACGTATTATAAATAAATGGACTAACCTTAATTGACATTTATTAATAATGGAATAAATTTTTAAAATAAATAAAATTAATGGCGGTACAACCTTTTTAGGTCTGGGCCTCATAGTTCTGAATCTATTGTCAATCTAATAGGCAAGATCAGCTGCAACATGCCGCCGACTTTTTGAGTCTAAGGCAAGCCGGTTTTCCCCACGATGCCTTCCTTCACCATTAAAGCGAATGTTAAATGCGTACATAGAAAGAAAGTCCATTGGTGCACAGTTGGGGATCGAACCTACAATCTCAGTGATGAGAGTCGCACACTGAAGCCACTAGGCCAACACTGGTAATTTTTAAAATAGATGACAATAAATTTATTCAATAGGTATAAGTTCACATAAAGCCGGTTTTAAAATCAATAATTCAGCGTTAAAGGTTAAATTAGTACTAAATCGAGTCGAAACTAAAACCGGAACCTAAAAAGGTCACTTGACAATACTTAAATCCTTTCTTTATAACAATTCAACGAAACGGGTCATCATTTTGACATTTACACCTACTCGCTAACAAGTTAAAAAAAATAGATAAAGATTTATTGAATTGAATTATGATAGGCTTACGAATTGTTAAGTAAAAGTAAAGTGTGCATTAGTAATATTATTTGAGAAAATATCTTATTAAATGTATTTTTAGAAATATTTTTCTCTAGTACGCGAACTCAAGTCAGAGTGCTCTTCAGGACCGCGTAGCCAACAAGTGCTGACCAAAATATATATTGTTGTATTAACAATTTCCAAGTTCTTATATTCTTATATCTCCGTCTGACTTGATATTTATGTTATAAAACGTTAACGTTGATTATGAAAAATATAGTTTTTTTGGCAAGAATCAATTTTAAATATATATTTTAAAGGTATTATAAGTATTACTTTGTTGTGTATTAAATGTTTTTCCTAAACCCTTAGTAAGCTAAACTACTTTAAATTAATAATGTCTTTGGTTGGTAAAAGTCGTGACATCGAATTACGGAAATAATATAAGACGTTGTTTTTAAACAAAATACCTTTTGGACGACACAGGTAACTTAATACTACAGTTTAAATTCAAAATGTATATATATAGTTATATACCAATGGCAACCTTTTAGGTCTGGGCTCCTTTCTATATCTGTTACAATAATCTATATCTGTTCTGATCAACCTGTGCCTGACACACACCGTGGACTTGTTGTGTATAAGACAATCCGGTTTCCTCACGATGTTTTCCTTCACCGTACGAGCGAGTGTTAAATGCGCACATAGACAGAAAGTCTATTGGTGCACAGCCGGGGATTGAACCTACGACCCCAGGGAAGAGAGTCGCACGAGCCAACTTAGCTCTTAATAAAATTTAGATTTTTTTTACGTAAATATGGTCACGAATAATTGGCAACTTATGTTACGTTCAGAGCCATTTCAACTCATTTAGACTTTGTTAGTTTCGAACTCAAACCTTTATTGCATTCCTTATGTACATATTTTACACGTGACACGTTATAATTTATTACAATAAGGACCTTGGTTAGGCCAGCAATGTTGTGAGAGGGCATGAGTTAATGTAGTCATTAATTAGTTAATGTAATCTTTATCTCCTAAGGGTTTTATCTGTAAACCATAATCACGTTTTCATTATTGTCTTGTGTCTGTCACCTTAGTGGCCAACACTGCAAAATGCCCACAGGTCAAAATACACGTATAACACTTATTTATGAACTTTATCGATGGTGAAACGTTACCCGAAATATTAAACGGTCACTCAACGAAAACGGTTTTAGATGGCCATAACATTTAATACTACATAATAAAGTGATCAATTTACGACTGGGTCCGATTCATATAGATATTATAGATTAGGTCTTCAAACTTATGTTATTATCTAATTTATCTTTCTTGTGTGGACACGTTTGCCCCGACTAACCGCCCTCGGACAAGCAAAAAAGCTGGGACGGCCGCAGAGCAGGCGGAAAATAATAAACGGCTCAAATATTAGAGTCTTGTCCAAATTCGATTTTGTTCCCTTTGGAGTAAAAACTCTTGGGCCGTGAGGTTCAAGTGCACAGGCGCTAATTAAGGAGTTAAGTTGGTGCCTGGTAGATAGTACTGGTGACCCCAAAGCTGGTGTATTCCTCGCTCAACGAATAAGTATCGCAATACAGCGAGGAAATGCTGCCAGCGTTAAAGGTACACTGCCACAGGGACCAAACTTTTTAAACTTGTTTTAATTTTCTTTTTATTATTACAGTCTAGGTTAAGAAAGTAAATACTGTATATTTGTTTGTTATGTTCATTTATGTAAAGCACTTACTAGAGATATTAATATACCCTATTAATAAACAATAGCGACCTATTAAAATGCAATAGCAGTTTTTCAAGCGGCTGCAGAATAACGCTGTTTGCGAAGCTTAAAAAGCTGCAAGAGCACTGGATCTGTTGAACGCATATGTAAATATGGATGATCTTCGTGATTGATTGTCGTAACTGATATTTGAAAATGACTACTTGATACATGCATTAGGCTTTACTTTTAGCATTTATGAATTTGTGTGTGAATTTTGCTCTTTTTTGTCGAAACTTTATATGCGTTTTAATTTAATAATATTAGGGAGACATTGAAATATACACACATTACAATTGAACATACATACCTAAAACTTCAATTAATTTACCCGTACTAGATTGTCTAAAGTTAGTAATTCTTTTTTTGGGAAAATTATCGGCACTGGTTATATTTTTACTCTTCTTTAATAAAATCTCAAGGCTCTTTTATCTCTGGCTTTTACTAAATTTAAGAAATGTATTAAAGAAAAGCTGTGTAAAAAGGCTTTCTATAAAGTTAACAATTATCTAGTTGTTAAAGGGCCTGGGACTAGTGCTAGACAGGCTACTTCTAATTAATTTGCGATATTTGTTTTAAAATAAGTGTTGTTTGATGATTATGATTAAAAGAGTACCGATAGTTTTTTATACCGGCTTTTTCTCTCGGCCTACACCCTCTTCCTTCTTTGCCTATGAGTAGGGATGGCTACAGATTCAAATTTAATGACGTGGAATAAGTGATACCTGTATTTTATGTTCCATAAAAATATGTTATTTTATTTTTAACAAAAAGATTCTATATTTTTCATATGTTCTGTACTTTGTCCACATCTATACCTACTCATATATATATATATCACGATTAATTAACAAATAAATGTACCTTTTTTTCAATTAGAGGTTACAGAAGGCTGACCAAAAAGGAATTATATATTTAAACTTCGTAAAATATCTTTCAGATCTCGATTTACAACATGTGGTGTTGTAGTCCGCTGTGGTGGTACAGCAAAACCTCTTTATCCGTACCGACTCGCGGCGGCTGACGACGACTGCTGTGCTCCGGGGGCATGGCCCCCACCTGCCACGCCCCTTAGACCCCTCACGAGGACCCCGAGTAAAGAGGACCTCACTCATACTACGTATGTTCAGTCTGGGTAAGTTTTATAATAAATTATTGCTATTACCAACTATAATATTCTTTTTTTTTCATTTGTAAAGACCACAATATGACACTTCATACCTAGAATGAGACCAACAATGTTTTTCTATTAATCACAACAATGACGGAAGTATTTCGAAGGTAATCGTTAATAACAGACAAGTCAGCAGACGTTCCTTTTTTTATTATGAATGATTGTAGTTACGAAACATATTAAGAAAATAATTAATAAATGGTACGTACTAAAGCCAACTAGAAATATTAAAACCTTTAAAAACCTTTCATTAGTAGTCTGTTGAAAAAAATTGCTGAAATTACTAAAGTCATTCAATTATCCCATCCTCGACAGCGTTGTTGAGTGTCTACTGAATTATTTATTTCGCTTCGATAGTTTGGGAATCAACTACAATCCCTTTTATGTAACACGTTTCAGCCACAGGTAGTCTGATTTAAAATTCTTTTGGGGAAATAGAAATCAAGAAGATACAATTGTATAAGAAACATGTGGGAAATTTTAAGATTGTTCGCTTTCCGATTTATGGTATTCAGTAGGCACAGGCTCATCGTATATATTTATTTATACGTTCTAAAACAATATACAAAAAAAAAATACAAGAAAATATGACATCACAAATTTGACACACATACACTTAACTACTACACTAAAATAAACATATAGCCTTTAAAAGAACTATGATTGATAGAAATGTAACATCAAATATATTAAATGTGTCGATGCCGACGAAAGCGGACATACTTCTGTGTCTCTTGCATTGACGTGTAAATTATGCTGATAAGGCCTTTTAAATTAAAGCATATTTCGTTGCGTTAGCCAGCAGAATCCAACTGCTATCTGGGTATGAATAAAGTAACGGAAGTGATTGATTTTGTTCTCGATATAAAAATTGCCACTAAAATGTTGTTTGCAACGATAAAATGGCTATTTATCTGACTCAAAAGTTTTTCTACCCAGGTTCCAAATACCGAGGTTAATAAAGTTATCTTATACAACTTGGTCCGTACAATGATATAAGTTTGTTGATTGACCTAAGCGACATTTATCATTACCTCGTTCAGGGTTAGTGACAGCAATCGTTTCGGTGGAAGCTGCGTGGTCCACGGATCCACGGAGGGCGGAGTGCTAGGGGCTCCTGAAGAGGAGGCTCTAAGCCCAGTACCGGATCCCCCACCGGGCTTCAGTCACTCCTCCTGCCCGCCTGAAGTGCATAAGACATGCTTTTGTGTGCGCTTTATCGCCGAACACACCAGGATGCTTGAAGATTCTACTAAGGTACATTTTCATGCCATCATCCCATTAGTCCCTCCTTTCAGAAGAGGCGTTTTGGCCAAAACTCACCGATGTCCAGATTGAGCACTCTGATAAACGAGCTAAGTCTGGATATCTATAGTTGCTCCCTGCTCGAAATCAATTTTACTTTTTGTTTATGAATCGTTGTTTTTTTTCTCTTTTCATGTTTGTTATGTTTGCCTATAAGCAAGTCACATTAAATCTTGTATTTTATTTTTCTTTATGTAACAATGTACCTACCTATCAGTGTGCCGATCGTGGCAAGGTTTTATAAATAAAACATTATATATTTTAATATTCTACAAAGTAATAGAACACGCTTTTAACTTAAGTAATGTTTTATAAATTGCGTATTCTTATATTCAAAATACCATTCATCTTATAGAAGCTTGAAGCGCCAGTATAATTTATTAACAGACACTTTTGATAGGTGGTCAATACGCAAATATTAATATTAAGCCGGTTTCCTCACGATGTTATCCTTTATTGTTCGAGCTAGTGTTAAGTTCGCACTTAGAAAGTCCAATGGTGCACAGCCGGGGACCTACGACCTCGGAGATGAGAGGCGCACGCTGTATTTATATTTTGATAATCATTTCCAGGTAAAAGAAGATTGGAAATATGTCGCGATGGTGCTGGACAGATTATTCTTATGGATATTCACACTGGCGGTTCTCGTTGGAACAGCGGGGATCATTTTGCAAGCCCCGACGCTTTACGACGACAGAGTACCAATAGACAAGACTTTTAACCAAATCGCCACTTCCACTCTTGTGAGGTGTCCACCGCCATCGTAAATGTGAAATGTGAGGCAGGAATACGCCATGGATTTAATTTTATAAATACAATTTCGTAAATTTTATAGCAAAATCTAATTTGTTAGTGATACATTTTGTACTCGTTAAGCAAAAAATACACCGAATTAAAAAATGATTGTCCCACGCAGGAAATTATCTCTGTCCTATATAAAAATCCAATGTCCTTTTGACTATGAGAGTGAGTTGCCAAAGTAAGAAACGCAACTCTTTTACATTTCTTTATAACCTAGGTTTTAGTTTAGGGAACTAATAGGTTGTGGAACAAATATAATTTGTCTATCTCATATTATGTCCTGAATATTTTTTATTTCTTCTGGCTTCTGTGGCGTAGTCTTGTAAGAGATCGGAATAAAACCAAAAACCATGACCGCACCGTCCCTCGTGTCCTATTCCACGACATTCTAACTCTATCATACTCTGATTGTCTTGCAATTTAAATAGTCTAAAAATTATAATTAACTTTAAATATGGATTTATTATGGAAATTAATGTAGGAATTTTTTATAGCATTTATTTTGGGAATTTAATTAAATAAAACATTTAGCTATAGCTGACTTCAAAATGCACTCTAAGTTTGGGTATGTCATCATCTGTTCTTAAAAAATCTTGGGCAGTTCAGAAAATAACCATTTGGTCCAGACAATACTATGTAATATTAAGACGCAATTTATTGATCCATGGACGCACTGCAAGAAGGGTTGCTAGAACGTTGCCAGAAATGATATTTCTACTAAAAACCTTCCTTTTTGAAGTCGGCTAGGCCAAATGGATCAGCAAATTTTCATCATCAGAATATTTTTTTTTATTAATAATCAAAACTCTTGAGATATAAATGTAGTTGTTTCTTCAATTTGTACTTTTACCTAAGTAGTTTTTTCTCCTTAATATACATAAAAATATAATATTACCTCATAAGCAATAAATAAACAGCTGTCCTTATACAAATATTCCTAAGTATCATATATTATTAACAGCCGTACAGTCCTCTATTTAAAAGTCAGCTTACCTATAATTATATATATAGAGAATGAAGCCACATTCACAGTTGAAACAAGCGTTAACATTTCCTACCGTATGTCAAATACGTTTTTGTCATACGAAAGTTATAGTTACTACGTCTCGACTCTCTCGTCTCTCTTAGCGCTAACGAGTTATGAAAGCATACGGCATCTTATTAATTTGTTATCTATGGTAAACTTATTTTAATTAAAATCATTTATTCATTCAGGTACAACAATGTACACTTATAAACGTCAATAACGAAATAAATATTAAATGCTTCTAATTTTACATTTACTGCCAGTTCTCATATCAAGGGCGTAGAACGGACGAGAAGAACTGGCAATAAACTCTTCGCCACTCTTTTTAATCGCTAAGTTTTTTGTTTCACAATATCAGAAATCTATCTATTCTCTAACCTGATTTTCTACTTATTACTTAAGTAAACTGGATTGAGTACGGCTGTTAGTTACACTAATTTTAAGTAACGAGTGAATACCCGTATGTTTTACACTTTTCAGTAGAATTTAAGTAGCCAATGCAACTTTTTATAATATTATCCCAGAGTTTATGGAATTTTTAACGATCTGTTTCTCTTTAAGGAGTCAAATGCTGTCAAGTACTACAGCCACAAATACTCAAACTCAAAATATATTTATTCATGTAGGTAAACAAGTACACTTATGAATTGTCAAGTTAAATTAATTGTAAATTTACATTTACTACCAGTTCGCAAGTCAAGGGCGTAGAGCGGGTAAGATAGCTAGAATAATAGCTATTGTAACTGTAATATTCACTTTGAATTGTAGTTCTAAGCGCGTTGGCTGGTTTGTGTAAAGCAATCTAACCACGTTTAAAATTTATGCAAATAACTTTGTTTCAACACAGGTAATTAAAAAAAGATTGAATTTCACATGTCAACAATCTGTGTAGGAATTGTATAATGGTCTATAGAAATTGATAATTTTAAAATTCGAACGAAAGTTATTAGACGTTGGTTGCTTAAAGAGAAAACGGTCCGTTAAACGTAGTGAACATCTTAATACACTTTTAAACAACTATGTATACCTATGCTCTTTCTAGTTTAAGTATAATAGATATTTCTCAGTAGTTCTCTTCGATATATCTCTACTTTGTCGTAGAATAGAACATGTACAAATCGATTTTATTACATATAGTTCGATGGCCACAGTCACTCTTACATTCAGCTTGACGGTACACTCCAAATAATCACGTCAAATCAACAAAAGGGATTTATTGACAATAAAATTTCATTTTAATTTTGGAATAACACTGGTTGGTTGGCGATTTTAAATCTAAACGACCAATGTTTGACTATTAGTGTTAGGCACCAATTTTTTCCTTATCCAAAGCATAGCTTGAGGCCTTAGTGCCTAGTTAAATCTAACAGCCATCATCGCGTATTTGGACCAAAACGGAGGCACGAAAAGCATTGTTCAATACGTGCAGTAAAGAAAGTTTATAAAATTATATTCGTTCGTACTGTCAAAAATTAATATATAGTACGAGTATATACTTAAAGAGTGCAAACGCCTCTACCTATTTTACTGATTTTTACTGTAATAAACCGTAAAAACACACATAACATTTAAATCTAAACCTACCGCATGGGGGCCAGTGCTTTCGCGGGGTCGGACAACACTCGCTAGTACCCACGAACAAAGAAAATATCCTGAGGAAAGCGGCATGCCTTAGATCCAAAAACGTACGGCGTGTTAGGCACAAAACTTGCTTATTAATAAAATAATTATCACAGAACAAATTTAAAAAAAAAAGGTTGCGTGTACTTATGTACGCGCGTAAGAAGTTATACTTCTTTGGCATTATTTGGCAAACGGATAGTTAACCTCAATTGTATTGAAGCACTTAGGAATGTTGATGAGCACAGTTTTGTCACAAATATTTTCTAATATTAATTAGTATTGATTTAAATATTCAATTTAAATCACTTCTGATTATAATTCAGACGCACATATAAAATTCGCACTTGTATAATGAAAACACGTGTTTTAAATGTAGAAACTCAAAGCATGTGGATAAATATTATAAATATAAATACACAGTGAACAGAAGCGGCGTGCGTGCCATGCGCCACTAACAGAGGTTCCATTTCTGTTTTGTTGGTAGCATTTTTTCCTCAACTTAATGAGCGATTTAGTGGGCAACTTCATTCTGTTAATTTTGTGTCACGGTGCGCGCGCATAAAATTTCACTCTCATCAATTTTTCATAACGCGCCTAAAGAAGTATAACTTCAAAAATCTGAGTTCTTGACGAAAAGGTTTTAACGCCACTGGCACGATTTCATAATGACGATGTAAATTAAAGTCTACACAGTCCCGTTTGTAATCATCTATATACAACGGCTAATCTCGTGTTAACATTCCCTTTTATTGTTTGAGCGAGTCGCTGAATGTACAGTAAATTTCCATGCTTATGATAATAAGTACAATATATCTAAATAAGATTGCTCAATTTTGACAAAAACTTAGCCAAATTAACTGCTGTTGCACTATCTAATTTAAGAAATTGTGAAAGTTTCTCATTCGAATTCTTCACGTATAAAAACACTACTTATCCAAACATATTCAGTAGTGGGCTGATCAATTTAAAAAAAAAGCATTGTTAAGTGCCTACCTGATACCTAATCCTCTGTTTTACTAGTAATTTCTCGCTTAACAATAGGCAAAAATTTACTAGTAAAAGTGACCAAATATGGAATACCATTTTGATTTTTAGGCATAATTTCCACATGTATTATAAAATAAAAAACTGTTTGTGGTAATTATTAACAATATATTTGCACTTAAGTTTGTAATAAGTTTAGGTTTTATTGATTAGTTTAAAGTAAGAAAAAATTTAAGAAACTAAATAACGATTTAGGTACCTACGTATATATATGGAATTGGTACCCCAAATATGGAATACTATAAACACTATCAAAAAATTAACCTTAATTTACAAGAGACTCTTTGGAAACTTGGTATAATATAGAAATGTACACAAATTATTTACAAAAATCACAAATCCAGGTATCAAACTCTGGCCCAGCGCAATCATTACATGCCCAGAGTCCACACATAAGATTGATCCATGTTGTTATGTTATTGTTGATCTAGTAAAATCTGAAACTGGACGCGTAATTTTTTAAAATTATATTGTATTTTTTGTAACATTTATGTTAATCATTATTGTCATATAACATAAAAGATAGCTTGTAAGGGTGCGTCCACATCTGGCGAATATGCTGCGAATGTGCAGCTCGCGAGCAGTTTGCGAGCTGCGCGCGTGCATTTGTTCGTGCGCCATTCGCCAGATGTGGACGCACCCTAACATGCTGTAGATATAGCAGCATATATGATGTGGTGAAGTTTAATTAATTAATAAAATAAAGCATTTAAACCAAGTTTCAGGAGGTTGAGTAGATTTCATTGTTAGATTGTGCAAACAGGCAGTTACAGGAACATAATGAATGCAATTTATTAAAAGTTGAAGTGTTCTTGCTAGTTATAACCTGCTCAATTTAACCCTATTATTTGAAACCGAGCTTAAATTATTTTAACGTGCCAAATTAGCAAGGGCATTTCGTTAATTTGTAAATACATTGTATAAAGTTTACAAAATTTAAGTTAAAACGCAATTAAACGAGAACGTAATTATTATGTAGAAAGGAATAAAACAATCGAATAACAACGCAAAATCTTTTTATTTATGTAAAATATTTAAAGCACTTAGTGAACTAGAACGGATAGATTATACAATAAATAGTTAGGTAATTTTACTGGTGCATAGCTTAGTTTCCTGTGGGTGCTTGAATATAAATGAAAGCAACATTTAATTCCCGTTAAATTTTTTGTAACACCGAATACTGAATAAAAACAAATGCTTACTGATGAATCAACCAAACTTTCGTTCAGTAATCGGTTTTGATGTCATAATTGATGTAATAACATTAAAAAGTTTGATATCTTTTGTGTATATATAAAGTTTAAAATTAATTCTAAATTTGTTTGCTGTATCACTTTACTTTCGTTTAAAGGATTCAAATAACGCACACATAGAATACTTTAATATACAGTAGGATAAATGCATAATTTGATCATATTACTGTTGAATTTCGAATATGAAATAGATATCTAAATGCATTTATGATTAGCAGTGTATTCATAGTCGTCCATTATCTCTAATGGTAAATTGATAATTATACGTATCAAGAACGGTGGAGTTCATCTACGAAAACTCCGATTAACTGATTCACAGATCTTTTGTATCTTGTTATTAGGAATTGAATTACCATTACACACTTAATGAACGTCTCTGTCTACGGCAGTTAGTCCTAAATAATTATATAAAAAAATGGTTATTGTTTTAATGTAATACATCATTTATTATACAAGCATCAAGGAATGTTATAATCGATGCACGTCGGACTGCCAGTGGTAGTGTAGTTCATTGTAGACAATTTGTAATGTACCCAATTTATATTGTTAATAAAAACGTTATTATATAGAAACAATGTCTTATTTATTACCTTAGTAACTATATTGTTAGTCCCAAAATACTCTTCTTAGAAGTTAAACAAATTTTTACCCGCAGCAAAAACATCAGAACCAGCTTTTGATTTGTTCAGTTCATCCATGAGTTGGTCAGTACGGTGGCTGTCTCGGATAACACTAAGTGCATTTTCTATAATTCGCTGATGGTCTTCTAGACTTTTAGATTCGGGATCATAGAATGGTGAAAATTTATCCAAGGCACTTTTATCAACGTCGAATATTGACTTTGAATCACGATCATCATCGCTATTATGATTTAATTTATTCTTTTCTCTTTCCGCTACATCCCTAAATGTCTTGGGTAAGTCTTCGGCTGGACTGCTTTGTCCCACAGCATCTCTCATATGATCAAATTCACGTTTCGCATCAGTGTAGGAATTAAGTTGGTTTGGATCAGAAAGAGAATTTCCTTCTTGTTTCGTAGCCGGTCTTGAATTATCTATCTGTTTTTCTAAATTTCTTTCTTTTTCTAGTTCGGACCAAACCGATGGTGTTATATCAGAACCAAACTTTTCCAATTCGGAATTAACGTTTCGTGATATGCTGTGCAATTCATTTCGTAACATATTACTAACTTTCGTCAATTGTTCTGTTTCATGCTTAAGAACTTTTGAAATGGAATCAAATTTCTGTCGACCACTGTGATGGTCTAATGCCCTTGTTAACGTTGTATTAACATTGGATATCGATTTATGTATTTCATGCCCGAATCGTTTGCCTTCAATAGCATCTCTGGTTTTGAGAAAATTTTCTAAAGGATCGTCGCTATATCTCTCTATTGATAGAAGTGGCCCACTCCTGCACTTATGGCCATATTGGGATTTACTTTTCATTAATCCATTTAGGGTTAAAACATGTTCAACTGCAGATATAGTACAGTGTACTGTGTCTGTGACATCGATAACGACATCACTTAGTAATTTTCCAAATCCATGTTGAACTGAATGCATGGCACCCTGGAGCTCATCGTAAAATGACCCTGATACCTAAAGTAATTAAGAAAATTAAACAACTGAAATTAGCTAAAACAATGAAAACCAATGAACTTACTTGAACGATCAGAAAGGAATAAAATAAAACATATATCCTCATTTTAAAACGTAATTGAAATACGTACTATATTTCTTGACGTATATTAATAACTGAATTAATAAGTAAAAATAATGTTTGCGGCCACGCGTTGTACCACTTGGACAAATATTAGCAGTGTAACCTTTACGCATTTAAATACAAATAAAACTAATATATTAATAGCAAATTCATTTATTCAATACCCAATAATGTATCACAAATATTTCTAACTAAAGTTATCTAGAAATAACACTAGTCTTCGCAAATTACGTTTGTGACCTTCCCTCAATGAAGCATACAAATTTTAAAATCTATGAACGTATTTTCAAGGTCAGAACATTGTTTTTATGCAAATTTGTTCTTGACAATTGCTTAAAGGGCCATAACTCAAAGACTTTCGTACATTCATAACGACATAATCTTCATATCTATGCCACATGACTCTGCGATCATATGACCCCATTCACATTCGAGAAGAAAAAATTTCATATCATTTAAAAATAACATAATCATAAAAATATTCGATATTAAAATAATTTATAAAATAAAATTATATTAAATTTAGCACTAACCCAATAAATCTATTTGTAATTCATATTTTGGGCTGAGCTTATCTATAAATAAATGCTTAAAGAGTAAACAGGTAAATCGTCCGTCTCTTAAAGCTTTTAAAATACTAGACATTTATAAAGTGTACAACGACGGAAAATGTCATGAAATACTTGCCATGATGAAAATGATAAGCTGCTCTAGGCCCGGAGTAAATGGCAAATCGACCATACTTCCAAGCAATTATTGTCAAGATTTAACTTCATTACATAAGTCTTTGCTTCTTCTTTTAAAGAAGCAAAGACTTCTTACTCGTTCTTTTAAGTGAAGTCCCTTAAAACTTGTACGAAATTCACTTCGCAATCTAACGAATTCCGCGCCGATTAAGATTATTGCTAACTTCAGTTTTGAATTACACTGTACACTATTAATACTAGAAACCCGTTAAAATACAGAAACTACCAACTTTATCTACAGAGAATAATAAAACTCTAGATTATATTTGACGTTTTGAAGTTTGACATTATGAAGATGACATTTTTTATCGTTGATATTTTAGATAAGACGTTACCCAGATTAGTTAAAAGATCAAGTAATTGACAAAACTACACGATATGTTAGAACCTTAATATAACTATAACAAATGTAAAATATATGTTCAAAGATATATTTTTTTAATTCCGCTACACAATAAATATGAAGTTTGCCAATTGTCAGGTAGTGTAAAATATACATGCCAAAGTGTTTCATAACTTTATAAATGTAATATACAAAAATATTAAAGTATTAAAAAAAATATAATATAATATGATATAGGTAGGAAGTATACATAATAGTGTAAAGGAAATTATAAAAATATAAAACCACCAATGATCAGCTGATAGGGGAGCGTTCAAGTATTACGTAACGAATTTTGGGGAGGGACCCGGAAAGAACCCTCTTTTGTAAAACGTTACGATGCGGGGCAGGGATTGAATTACGAGTTATTGTTTATATTATTTTCGACTTTCCAGTAGTTTACACCACATAATGGTAACTTTTAGGTATAAAGAGTCACTTGGTGGTCACGAAACGTTTTACTATTGGGTAAAGAAAAACGTTACGACGCGTTACATGGGGGGGGGGGTCAATAATCTCCAAAAATTGCGTGACGTAATACTTGAACGCTCACTAGGGCAAGTTCTTGTAGTTTTGCAGGTCAACGACCACAAGCTATACCTATGTTTTTACTTTAATATATAAACATTTTTAGTCTAAATCATTTTTTTTACTCTAGGTCAAATTAATCAACATTTTTGGAAAATATTCATATTTGTTAACTTTAATAAATTTTTATTAATTTAACCTTTATTTGGTTTATTCTAGGTTGGATAAATTTTAAGGACATACAGTATGCGTCAGCTGCCATTACAAGTAAAAAATTGGCACTTCTTTACATTTGAGCAAGAAATTTATACAACCATTAATAGCTTATACATTTGAAAGTAATATAAAATATAATTCATAAATTTGATTTCATATACAATTTAAAGCTTTTATAACTTAATTCATTTATAATAAATAATATTTAAATTAAAACGGCTCGTTTCAATATCCCACTAATTTAGGTTTTAATTGTTAACTTGATAGTCTGTGGAATGTCTCACGTACAAACCGTCACTTAGTACGTAGACACATACGTTGATGAACAGTCATTATGTCGCAATTAAAAAAAAATAATACATTTACAAACAAATTGAAACAGTATTGCTAATAAGCGAAATCTTTCAACCTTTTAAATAAAGATTATTTTTATAAGAATCGAAATATACAAATATCCGGAAAAATATTCTATATATTAAAATTGATTTTTCTCTTAAAGGCTATATGAGTATAAATAATAACTACATAGAAGATTAGGGGTTCTAGACAAAAACACTTTGGGTCAAATTGACGCTTAAGTCACGTGACCACGCCCATACAAATTAGTTTTGAGTTAGTGGGTTACGCGTATCGCTCAGTGTTTTATCCCAGGTATATATTATATATGAATTTGTACATTTGAATATATATGAGATAATTTACTATCTACATTTTAAAAGGTCAACTTTTATTACTATATCAACAAGGTATTAAAATGATATTTTTTGTTTTACTTAATTTGCTTGAGATATGTTATTACACCCGATATCATCTCTTCTCTTTGTATTCGTACGAGATAAAAAGAGATGGGTATATGATACTTGCCACTGCGACCATTAGCCATATTCTTTATGAAATCTCAGATCTTTTTTAAACGTCAAAATGTTTAACCTTATCCACAACGAACGTTTATCTGATCACTATGATGGAAAGAGACAAAACAGTTATGTCTTGAACCAAAAGACAAATTAATTTTTATTTGTTTAAATTTAATTCGTTGGTTAATTATTATTACGGGGTTAAAGTTTGACAAGTCGTTAAACGTGTGCGTAAAATATTTGAACGTAGAAATCGAAAAGAAAATCTCCGTCTTAGGAAGAAGAAAATAACTTAAATCCATATTCAATTTACATCTCAAGTAAGAATCTCGTCTTGAGCTCTGTCAAATATATCAAACTTCATACTGAAAAAATAGTCTAAAGTTAAAACTAGATTTTAGTGTGACGTTTTAAAATACACTCCTTAGAGTTAGATTCAGATACACATGAAAAGTTGTTATTCTTTTTAGACCAATGAAATTACGCAGACATCGTCAAATACTATTTCAAACTCTATCCCCATTATTCATACTAAAACAGCAAGTATCCATCTGTCTCTTTTCAGCACAGCGTAAAGACAATACGGCAGAAAGAGACGAAGATACTAGTTAAGAGCAATTACACTTTAGTACAAGGGAATATATTTTTGAACCCTATAACTACTGTAACATTACGCGAGATCTTAGATATGAACACTACTTATAAAAATGTTATCAAAATATCGATGTCAAAAATTTCATAAAAATAATTTTTATTAATAGGCCCTAATTAGGAGGCCATAATTAAAGAAATTGAGAAAATATTAATGAAATATATACAATAGATGACACAAGATCCTTAAGAGTTAGAATTATCAATGTAATGTCGTCTTTATTCTTTTGGGTTAAGGTTTATTTTACAATAGACAGAAGTTTAAATGTGTTTTGACAGACCACGAATTATTTCTGTGATCTATACCAAATGTATGGAAAACGTTCCACGTACGAAAGTACGTACGCATTTACATACGAACGTAAGCACGTACGCATCTAGGTGCATCTACGTACAATTGACGAAACCATCGACAATTTTGTACTCGAAATAGGCAAATAGCCAACATAAACACACTTCTGTATCTGTATCATTGGGTTTGATTCCCGGTAAAAAACTCAAGTTATGAAGATGGTTAAAACGCCGTTTAAAATTACACATCTAACTAGTGGCTTCTTCGTCATCGCTGAACTGATCATCCCTTTTTGGAGGAGGGGGGGCTTCGACATCTTCCCGGCGCAGGGGAATCGGGGTTATATGCGCTTTGGGTAGAGGTGGTATTGGTGGTATTTGGACATTGGGGTTAGGGGGCATATTTGGGGTAGGGGCTGCTTGAGGTGTTAAAGTGTTGTTCATACGTTGGTAATGCGCCTTCAAGGTGTTCGACGGTGGTGTGTAGTTTAAGTGGTCGTATTCTCTCTCTGAAAATATTAAATCATCATGATTCCAGCTCCTAGAGTCCTTAATACCTTGAAATTCCACATAATACATACTAATAAAGGGACACAATAACAATTGGCTGTTCACGCCATCCAAGTACCTATCCTCCTCTCGTTAATATGTCGTCAACGCATCGAGGTTCATGGATGGCGTGTGCACATTGGTTATTTGTCTTGTGAGTTTGGTGTTAGATGAAATCATAGTATCGAGGGTAAGCCAATGGACGGTCTATGCGTAATTGACATACGGCGGAAAGCAATGTGAGGAGACCATGCCTCGAGCACAGAAGGCTGATCTTGACATTTGCTTACTAAGAAAAGACAAGACAAAGCTGTAGCGCCACTTTTTTGATTCATATTAAAGTGGTATATATATGTCAAGTACTCGTAAAATCCTGAACTTTAGTTCATGTAGACTTTTAATAGAAGTAATTTCGGCCTTGGTGGCTGATTAATAAAATGTCCAGTTAGTGATCTAAATTTCGACACACTTTTATTTCTCTTTCTATTAGTACAAGATAGAAAGAACACAGACACTTGCCAGTGCGACTAGCATATTCTTTATGGAAGCTTAAATCTTTTTTACATGTCAAAATGTAAAAACCAGTTATAGCATTAATAAGTCAAATTTGCACACCAAACTCCTGATTCTTCTTGCCCCCTCTACGCCCTTGACATGCGAACTGGTAGTAAATGTAAATTTACAATTAATTTAACTTCTTTTCTGACGTTCATAAGTGTACTTGTTCACGTTTTCATTACCTATTATTCATATAGGTAATGAATAAAGTTATTTTGAGTTTGATTAATAGAATCCATTCCCTATGAAAGCTCATTAAATGCTTACCATAACCCTCTTTATGCTTGATCTCATCATAGACGTGGTCCAACTTGTCATCCTCTATACAATGGTACAAGTTGGGGTTGGTCGCATCAGCGTCTTTGTTCTTGAGGGACATAGTGTCGTATGCTGGAAATTATTGTACAATTATTAACACGTGTATGAGAAGTATTGGCTAAAGAAAAGCAAAGGATTGATGCCTTTGAGATGTGGTGCTGGAGACGAACCAAACAAATAATAAATATTCCTTTAAGACAGAAAGAAAGATAAAACTTTAGAAAATAAAAGGAGTTTAAAAAAAAAGGTGCGTGTACTTATGTACGCGCGTAAGAAGTTATACTTCTTTGGCTTTCTTTATTTTTTTTTAAATATTAAATAATTAATGCTAAATATTTAATATTTAGTATATTTTTCAATTATTAATTAATATTAATAACTAGGTATGTTTCATAACTTTTAACTAAGTAACAATAGGTCTTTGTGAAAAAGCATTGCTAAATTTCTTTGAAAAAATAATTAAAACTCCTTTATTTGTTTCAAAGGTCATTATGGTCATTCAAAATTCTTGGCATAGCTGCTAACTTCACGCATATTCTTTAAAAAGAATTCGTTAGTGGGCAACTTCATACTGATAATTTTGTGTCACGGTGCGCGCGCATCGTAAAATTTCACTCTCATAAATTTTTCATAACGCGCCTAAAGAAGTATAACTTCAAAAAGAAAGTGTTACACCCACTCTCCAGGATTTCCTGTGTCGTAGGCTAATCTCTTCCTTTTGACATCAACACTAAAGTCAACATCAATTACAGAGGGAACAGGTTTATGGTTTGGTTTCCGTTTCAGAATAGGACATGTTAAGATGTTGTTTAACATTGTTATTGAATATATAAGGTATTGCATCTTTGGTGAAAATTTAGTTTTTAAGAAAGTGTTTAAAGATGAGAAAGCCTCTGAAGGAGAAAAAGTTTGCGTTTTAAAATTATGGCTTTGCAACTTCGGAAGAGTTACTGCGTTTAGTATTTATATAAGTTATATTATTTTTTTCCTTATATTTATTTTGATTATCTATTGTATATATGTTTGCCTATAAGCGTTTGTCACATTAAAATTATATTATATTTTTCTTGTACCAATGTATAGGTCGGTTATCGAAAGCTGGCGGGTTCACAGTACTCACACTAATGCAATTTCACATACAGTATGTTTCAAAATATGATTTTTTTGCCATGCTATACATTTTAGTCCACTCATACACGACGGACAGTCTATTCATGATGTATTTATGATTGTATTTCAGTTTGACATCACGTCTCGCGCTTATTCACAGACACTACACAAGCACAAAGTGTAAATGTGTTGAAGCCGCCAGCTTTAGTTAACATACCTATATCTGTGTACCGAGCGTTGGCAAGCTTTTATTAATAAATAAATCTGGCTCAGAGCAAGACACGCTTCAAGAGACTGATGGCCAACCTCCAGTAATGGAGAGGCATTAACGCCCGAACCCAATAATCAATCCACACTCTCAGATTGAAAACAATCTGAGATCAAACCGTGACAGTCGATCGATCTCCTATCTGCATCCCAATAACCAAACCCCACGAAGACAATCCTTTTTTGGCGACGGATAAAATGCTCTATGTCGTTCCATTTTACCGAGTTTTCACTCATATTTGATAATCAATGTAAACCAAATAAAGTGTAAAATCGTACAAATAACTTTAAAATATACATGTGTATGTATGTTTAAAACATAACAAACAGTTTTTTTAATTATTTAAAAAACTGGCGTAAGTTAAAATCTGTTAAAATAATTACCTAACTGTTGTAATCGAGCTTTCATCAACTGTCATTTTCATACAAAGGTCTATCCACAGACACCCATACGACCTCCCATTGATAACTTGTATCGACAGATGGCTATTACAATCCGTCCATTGGTTATTGGGTCACTTGTTACAACATTTGGATTAAGTATCACTATTAAAAGTATTGCTTCATTGTACAATTGTATAGTTAGTTTTCAGCACTACTAAATAGGTTATGAGTCAACTCACTTCCATTGGACCCAGAAGCCGTCATACGAAGTTTCTCCATGGTGGTGTTGGTCAGCTTCGCTGGCCCCAAGTTATTTATGATTGTATTGTTGAGTAAGGTCGTGGAATCGTCACTACGCGTTGAGTTATTATACGAATATACCGGGTTATCGAAGTGCTGTTGTTCTGAAAATATTTCAAATAAATATAACATTAAATTGTGTATTTGCCCTAGATAAATGGGTGGATATCTCAAAAAAAACAATATTGGGTCTTCCTGATTTGAATAAAAGGATAATATCTATATGACTGTTGAGTAGAAAATTGTGGACAAACATACACAAATAAAACTTAGCACATGCCCAATAGAAGCCCAAATATCATTCATCACCCAATCATCAAAATCTTATATTATCAAATTACCAAAATATGACAAAAATAATATCTCGAAATCAATTTATTTTCATCAGGAAAATCCAAAGGAAACTTCTTTAGGAAATTGTCGAAGTATCGTCAAAATCCACATATTTCTAAAGGAATAAATAAATACATAATTTCGTTAACAGGTCGTTTTCAGTTTTCAAGTATTTTTAAATCACCTATTAATATTTTTCCAATTAACTTTTAGATACATATACATTATACTTCTCTTCCTTAGCCCTTTAGGCCAGTCAATCGTCATTAAATTAGAGGAACTGTTCACCAATCTTTTCTCCACAAATTCCTTATTAAATAACCATCAATTCTTTTCAAAAATATTACCTGGCTGCACATTAGGATCGGCTGTATAGTGCACGTGAGCGATCTCTCTCTTGAGCAACCTCACCCGTTTCCGATAGTACAGCAGAACTAAAGCAATCCCACCCACGCACAGCAGCGACACTACTACCATCGCAGCAATTGCACCACTGTTTGAACCTTCCTCTGCAAATAGGTTATTTCCTACTTTAAAAACTTAGGTCAAGTATCAGAAAGCGATACAAAAATAAACAATGCCCATTGACTACGTTGGCTGGGGCACCTTAAGCGCACGGGCAAAGATCGGGTAGTGGTTGGAGATCAGTAGATACCGCTGGATCGTCAGAGTTGAGGAGGACCTGCCAAAAATCCATTGGCGGAAAGTGGCATAGGAGCGGTGACAGTTTCTCTTTTCGGAGACACATGTTTTGAATAGCAGAGCCAGTGTGAATGAGTGAAATTCTCGTAGCGAAATTATTGAATTTTTTTTAAAGGGAAGGGAAGGCATTAATATTATTTTAAAGGGAGCTTTGCAATCATGTGTCCATGTGGTCGTCAAACAGTCAGATCGTTTATTCATATAAGTAACACAATGTACACTTATGAACGTCTGAAAAGAAATACATATTAAATGCTTCTAATTTTACATTTACTGCCAATTTTGAAATCAAGGGCGTAGAACGGACGAGAAGAACTGGCAATAAACTCTCCGCCACTCTTTTTAATCGCCAAGTTTTTTGTTTGCAATCTTTGTAGGGAGCTGCAACCATTACACCATGTTCCACATGACATCTTAAGTAATTAGTCTTATGTAATAAATATGAAATGTTGTTCTTCTAGAATTGTAACTTACCACTATGTTCAATCTTGATAGCGTCACTGGCCTGTATGTCGCAATTGTCCCCAATGTAGCCTCGGTGGCAGATGCACCCGTGCACGGGGTCACACACCCAGTTGCCTTCCGACGAACAATTGCATGGCTCCATACAGTGGTCACCGAAATAACCCTCGGGACAGACTAAAAAAACATTTTTTTATTTATTTAATTAAAAATAAATACATTAATATTGTAATTGTTAATTCACAGTGTTTTATTAAAATAAACAGAAATTGAAAGGAATTTTTGCTTCAAATTGGATAAAATAAATAAATCAATGGCGCTACAACCTTTTTAGGTCTGGGCCTCAGATTTCTGTATCTGTTTCAGGATCATTTGGTAATCTAATAGGCAAGTAGGTGATCAGCCTCCTGTGCCTGACGCACGCCGTTGTCTTTTTGGTTCTAAGGCAAGCCGGTTTCCTCACGATGCTTTCCTTCACCATACGAGCGAATGTTAAATGCGCACATAGAAAGAAAGTCCATTGGTGCACAGTCGGGGATCGAACCTACGACCTCACCTCACCTCGGGATGAGAATAGAGAACACTGCTCATATCTACATTTAATATAAACACAACACATTATAATATATTATTTAAAATTGTATATAATATATATTTTTTAGTGTAGTGTGGCTAAGACTTCAGGGATATACTTACACTGCGTACAAAGAGCTCCAGTAAAGCCAGGAGGGCACCGGCAAAAGCCATCGTTGGGCCTGCAGGCAGCACCTCTTGCGCAGCGACACGGCTGAGTGCAGCCTGCGCCCCACGCCCCAGCCCCACAAGCTTGGGCACACGTGGGCCCTTGCCAGCCGGGAAGGCATTGACATTCACCTGGTAAATAAAACGACTCGAAGTCACTAACGTAAGTTCGGTGGCGGTTGTTCAAATAAATGAAACTCTGGTCGAAGCTAAGTGTCAACTATCTTTAATCGTTTGAAACAAACTTTATAACTAACATAAAATTAGGAGTAGTGGGGTTGCGATGCTGGAGTAATAAAAAACTTCACTTATTTATGGGTTCTTAAAACTATGTGAAACATCTCTTATCTTTAAAGAATATAAGTGATGTCGACCAATTGGATATTCTCGGAAACCAGAACTGCAAACTAAAAGGCTTGTTTATAGGTTCCATAACTCTCGAATCAAATTAATTTTCTAAAAATAGCTTGCAAACACTTGCAATTATTTATGTTGAAAAGTGCCTTTTTAATAGGCCCAAATGTAATAAATGATTTGACTTTGAAAACAACATTAATAACAAGAAACAACATCAGTGTTAGTCTATAAAACCGATCAGTCAGTAATGAAATCGCAAACTTTAAATGACATAAATTCCAATTCAAAATTATTAGATACTACAAAATATTCACTTATGAAAGTCAATAAAGGAATATATATTAAATTCTACTTTTATTGCCAGTTCTCAATTCAAGGGGGGTAAAATGGACAAGAAGAACTGGGAATAAACTCACCGCCACTCATTTTATCGCCAAGTTTTTTGTTTTACGAAATGTTTGTAAGGAGCTGCAACCTTGTAATATATTGCAATCTTGTAAGATATAATTAAAATGTGTATATTTATATATACACATATTGAATATATTTTAGACTAAACTCTTTACTAACCTGTAGCATGATGACAGTCTGCCCCATTCTTGCATATACATTTCTGTTCGCAGTTTTGGCCGTACGTTCCGAGCGGACACGGATACTCGCACGCCACGCCCGTAAACCCGCTGGGACACGTATACTTGCCCGTCACGGGATCGCATGTTATGTTGCCTAGAAAAAAATAATAATAATCCAGTTCAGTGTGTCCCAATCTTCTTTGTGCCATGAAAATGTGCTTAGCCTTTCGAAAATTCTTATGCCCCAATAACATACATCATTTTTAATATTTAACAATTTTATTGTTCACATAAACTAATAATTATGTTTACACTAGGAAATGTTAACGAAACACAGTAAGTAAATTTTCACAACAAATAATGAAAGACTGAAATTCAATTTCCAAATAATTTTTCGAAATTGCCCCTTAACAATCAAATTGTCACCCTATGGATCGTGGGCTCCATGGCAAAGACAAGTTTATTTCTTCACATCCTGTAAGCCTATGTAAGCTTTCTAAAACGAACATCAGTATCTTTTTTTTATAGACGGGGGCACACGGGCAGGAGGCTCACGTGATGGTAACAGGTGACTTTGCGCTTTTCTGAAGGCTATATTATGATGCTACGATTAACACTTGCTCGTACGAAGGAAAACGATCGTGTGGAAACCGATGCCTTTAAAAAGGCTGAGTCGTCACCTAGTGCCTTTAGAAATGATCACGAAAGAGAAACAGAAATCTGAGGCCCAGACCCCAGGAGTGCCACCGTTTTTGTATTATGATGATGATGCTTTATTACAATGCTTTACATGTCAAGCGATAGAAGAACTAGTTCAATATTTAATTTAGAAAAATTGAGGCTTTAGTGGAGAAAGTAACTTTCCGACTCCCCCTATCCTAACCCTAAAGGCAATCTTCCATTATCACTCTTCTTGACTTTGTAGTTCCATCCACAAAAATACACAAATTGATAACCTACTTACATTTTTGGAAAAATAGGGGGAACAACAAAAATGTCAGGCAAGATACGAAATATAATTTCTTTATAGGAATTAAAACTACCAAAATATAACATCATCAGGAAATTTGAGTAAGAAGTATTCGTTAAGTCTGACGTCACTTGTTTACGTCCGACATGTTTTACAAAAAAATGTTTTACAAAACATAATGTTTTGTAAACGTGTTCAGAAAACATTGGTATATCGTTTCATAAACACGCAAAGCGAAATTACTGCAACATACGTATTGAATCAAATCAAGAACGCGCTACATCCATAAATGGACAAGAAAGGCAGCTGACCTGGTGAATGGCAAAGGGTGTCCAGATAATGAAGACTCCAAATTATTTTACTTTTTTTTAAATTTGATCAGCACACTACCGAATATGTCAATCCCTGGATAAATAGTGTCAATTTCATTATATTCTCAAAAAATCCGAATAAGAAGTGCTGACTCCTAGGTTGGTTTTTTCAGACGGTGTTTGGAAAATTCTGCTGATTTTTAACCTTGGGAATGAAAAAGGGACGACAATGTTAATGTTCTGTATTAATTTTTATAGGAACCCTTCATAGTAGCCTAAACGGACCGCGGACCGGCAGACCTGTGGCCGAGAAGGTAGGCAGGGGAATCAGGGGAGTGTCAAAATCTCTCTTTTCCTAAAAAGGGACTCAACGTCTTCCGCCAGGCACCACTCCAGAAATTAAAATATTAAGGCAATTTTAATGTCCTGTAAGTGGTTACTGTTCTCTATTTGAACATTTAACATGTTTGACCTATGCATGGAAGTAATAAGTCCAATTAAATAATAAACTTACCATCCTGTTGCATAGGACACAATTGGGCACAACCAACGCCATAACGTCCGGGCGGACAGGGCTGGTCACAGGTATCTCCTTGCCAACCGGCTGCGCACACGCATCTCCCGGTTGACGCGTCACACGAGGAATTGTTGGCGCACGAACATCGCTCGTTGCATTGGTCCCCGAATCGGCCTTCGGGGCATTGGGTTTCGCAGCGCACACCTATTATATTTAAATTATATATATGAGTAACTACTTACTATATCCTTAAAGTTCGTTATGTTTATTTCCATTTAAAATTGCATTTTTGTTGATAGTGTGAACTGCAAAGCAATCTACACTCTCAAATACAAACATACACACACACCAATTCACATACTCACACATTAAAGCATACTCAAATTATACGATTTGTATTTAATTAGTTGTAACACAAATCCTACTTTTTCTCAAAATCCTGTTTTAACATGCACCACGGAATAATCGTTATCTAGTTACCAACAACACAACAGAACTAATCTCAAAATAATGATAGGGACAAAAACATATTTTTGCCCTAGGTACGACAGACAGCCCAATGTGCAGAGGCGTAGTCTTGGAAAGCGAGGCTGTGGCTAATCAACGTTCAGAAATCCTCGGAGCAGTTAGGTCGCTCCGTAAAGACTGCAAAGTGCCCAGGAGACTTCTGTGCTTCTGGAAGGCGCTAGGCTGGCTAGGTTAGCCAGGACATTACGCACAACGGACCTAGTGAGAGTTTAAGTGCGGAAACTGAGTCCACAAACCTTTAAAAATTTTACCTACAATACTCCTACTCGACTCCTAGTGTGGGGCCCCTGTCAACTAGCGATAGTTGAATTTTGTCACAATCTATTTGTCATGAATAAAGTTTTTTTATTTATTTCACTTTATTTGACAATATTAAAAAAACCATTTTGAATTATTTATGACTGACCTTTACAATAACCTAACAAATTATTTTTATTTCTGTTCGGCTTTAAAAAATATAACTAGTAAACATTTATAATTTCAAAAACACGCCAAAAAGCAGAGGCAAGATGGCGTCCAACAAGTCCCTATGTGTGTCAAGCAAACGAGACTGAACATTTGTCAACTTGTCTATTAGATTGGCAAATGATCATGAAACGGATACAGAAATCTGAGAACCTAAAAAGGTTGTAGCGCCACTGATTTATTTATTTTATTTATATAAGTTACACAAAACAATTTAGCAATTTGTTTTAACCGTGTAATAAAAAACATTATACTTTTTATTATTTATTAATCCATTTAACCATAGTGCATGACGGCCAGAGATATTTTGGTTTTCGCATTTAAATCCGAAGAATCCACAAGCGCAATGACAGATTTAAATTTCGACGCATGAATCCTTCTTATCGCTTTATAAACAACTTTATACACATCTCGTAACTTGACTTCATGTGGAATTTTCAAAGATAAACATTGTTTATGGGATTTCAAATTCGACTGTCTTTGTATTACATTTTTAATATTAAAATCTTGAAATTTGATAATTTTCAATTTATTTGTCTGAATTTCTTCGTTTGTAACATTGCCGCATATATCAGACGAAATCGTATTCTTGAATTTATCTATAAAAGAGTTTTCTATAAATTCAGCGAAAGACCTATAAGAACTCCTGCGCAACCTTTAATTAAATTCTTTCACACACCCTTACACATATTTACACACCCACATTCACTAATGCTTTAGTTTTATTTTGTCTATAACTTTAGTTTAGTCATAGTAGGTAGTGTGTGTTTTTGTATATTTTCTATCCGCTATGGAGGGCTGGTTGTTACCACAGGACTTCTAAAGCCCTATTATAGGCACAAAGATGGCCAATACCTGCAGCATGTAAGCCCGCTAAATGCAATATTGCGAAGAGGCAAACAAAATGTATTATTATTATTATCCGTTTCATTTCCGTCGAACCACAACTGAGCATTTTTTGGACCATCATTATATGGAACCAGGTGCCCACTGATGTTACCGAACCAATTCGACTTAGGATACTTCAAGGAAAGATCGCACCAATTCTTAAAAGGCCGGCAACGCACATACGAGCCTTCTGGCAATATGATTTCATGGGCGGCGGTATCACTTAGCATCAGGTAAGCCTTCCCGTTTGCCTTCTAATACATTAAAAAAATCAAATCTTACCAACAAACCGGGATTTATAGCGTTATAGTTCACTAACTTCAGGAAGCAAGTGCTTTATTGCAAATAACATAGCTATGACGTAATTATTACCTACATATATATACATATACATACCTAAAATTATCTTCCTAGTGAGACCTAGAGGTGCATATCAATGATTTTTAATGGTTATATTAATGATGTGATAGACTATGCCATGGAAACTTATAAAAAATATATTTTTTTAATATGTTTAAAGCACACAAAGCTTCTTTTTGTCACTTTCTATTTCGCATGGTGTATTGGAATAGTGAGTTGTAAAAAGTGGGTACTACAAAATTATGATATATTTTTATCTCAAACTACCCTCCACCTGCGTGAATTTCGCGTATTTTAGCAAAATTTGCAAAAATCCATAAATATTCTAGAAAGATAGAGAGGGCGACCAGACTCCATTTCATAATATATAAGATAGGGGCCGTTCAAGTAAGCAGATTTACGGCAATTTATCCCCCCTCCCCTCCTCTTGTCAGCAAAAGTAAGCAAAGCTCTCAAAAATAAAAGTACATAAACGTATTAATTTTTTGTACGAATCCTCTAAATTGCATTTCGTTTTCAAGCATAGACAATGTGTGGATAATATGTGTAAAAAAGTAAATAATTAGTGTTGACGTAATCACCAAATAAGAAAATCAAAGACCCTTCCTATCTCCTATAAAGCTTACGTAATACTTGAACGGTCTCATATAGCTGGATGTTAATGTAATAGCATATATTATGTCGGCAATGACATACAAATGTCAAATTTAAAAATAAAATCACTAATTTATTATCATACTTTAAATGAGATATGAAAAACTAGCAAATCGCAAAAGTTATGAATCTAGAAATTCTAGAAATTCTAAATATTCTAGAATGTAGTACCCGTACCTCGCCAAGTAGTCTCGCAAATGCACTGTCCGGTGACGTGATGGCATCCACGCGAGTGAGGTGAGCACGAACACTCGAGGGAGCAATTCGCTCCATAGAAACCAGAACGGCAGCGACGCGAACATTTTGGTCCTTCGTAACCCGGCCCGCAAACACATTCACCTACATTGTAATATGTTAAAAAATAATTAATTTGAAAAATAATCTATTTTCTTTTTTTTTCGATTTTAAATAACTGTAACAAGTCAAGCTACTCTTAAACTAATGAAAGGTCGAAAAGTTTGCTCATCTTGCCGACGTCGAGCATAAATTTATTATCTGTAAACTTTTTTTAAAACAGGGGGCAAACGGGTTGGAGGCTCCCCAGATGTTAAGCAATACCGCCGCCCATGGAATGTCCATGGGTCATATGGATGTACAATTATTTCATGGATTACCTTAAAAAAATTAGCAGTATTACCGTATTTAATCAATTTGAAAAGGTATTAAAAATAAAGGTATTAAAGATGTGTTTTATAAATAAATGGTACTTATTGCATTTACCAAAGGATCAAGTATAAAAGTCTATACAAAAAGGAACAATTAAACGTCAAAAAATTAAAGTATTTACCTGTAACAGGATCGCATGGTGCATCGTTGTCGCATTCACAGCGCTGACGACAACCAAGACCGAAGGTTTTCCCATCACACGGTCTATCACATTTCAGTCCATCAAATCTAAAAATAAAATATGAATATACCAAATCCAAATAGGTGAATTTTCTATGAGTCGTAAATTGTTTATTTAAACTAGATATAAACACTGAACATTTAACGTTTTGCAGGAATTTTAATTGGTCCGGCTCGAAGGACCAAACATGAAGTAAAACTCACCCGGGTGGGCAGTTACACTGTCCCGTTTCGTGGGAACAAGTAGCGTTGTTCATACACTGGCAAGTATCAGCACAGTTGTCGCCGTACAGTGGGTATGGACAGGCCTCGCCACAGTGCACGCCACGGTAGCCAGGCGGACAAAGACAGGAGCCTATAGGGGTTTATGTGAATTTTGTATTTGTCACAAAGAATTTGAATTGATCATTACAATTATTGGTTGGCTACTTCATAAAATAGAATTATTTCAAGAAATGATCAGGCTAGATTTAAAAATAATTATTTAGGAAATTGTATGAAATTTGTAGTTTATCTTGCTTGAATTCAAAATGTGCAAGGCTGATTCTCTAATTCTCTCTAAAAACTTCTCAAAAAATTGCTTAGCAGGATATGGAGCAATATTAATTTATATATTTCGTAACCCTACAGCTAACATAAATTGTATGAATCACATGAAATGTACAAGGTTCAAATATTTACGAAAGAAAAAATCAATAAAAATTATTTAAGGGTGCGTGCACATCTGGCGAATGTGCATCTCGCAACCTAAGTACTGACTACTGAGCCAGTAAACGGAACGGAATTTAAACAAACATGCAAAATAATGAATATACAAAAATTACCATTAATAGGCGAACAGAGGGCACCATTCTCGCATCTGCAATTAGAGCGGCATCCTTTCCCGTACATATAGAACGGGCATTGTCTCGAACAAGCTTCACCGTCCCAACCGGCTGCGCATTCGCAGGCACCGGTCCACGGGTCACACCTATAACGTCCCCATTTTTATCCAAAAACTATCACAAAATCCACCAAATTCAGTGAGCCATAATGGTGCAATATGAGAAAATGGTGGTGCATCTTTTTCGATGTTAGCTTTTAGTATTTATTTATTAACACTTCGTTGCATACAGAAATATAATACAATTGACATAATTAAATAAAAAGAAGGGCAACTGGCCTTATCGCTTTCGAGCGATCTCTTCCAGGCAAACACTGTGAGAAAAAAATTGATAAAGTAAGCGCAAGAAGTGCAAAAATACATAAGACATAGTTATTTTGACAAAAGTAATGCAACAAAAAAAAAAACATTGTAAACAGTGAACAGGAAAATAAAAAGTGCACACGAATCACGATAATTTTAGATCAGTTTCAGATCAATTAGCACGAAAGATATATGATATTAAAGTAGAGATTAAAAAAAAGATAAGAAGAACAGCGGATAGGGACGGGAAGTGAATTTCATAGCCTCACTGCGGAGACCTTAAAGGATTCGAGAAAGGAAGAGTTAGAAGATAGGATTATTTATTTAAATTGTAAACATTATTCATGAAATATATAAACATCTTAAGAATATTGACTCCCTGATCTACGAATTAACGTTGAATATCCACCCGAAGTGGGACGATCGGGTCGGAGTGGACTTAGAAGTGATCCAGTTTATTTAAAATCAGTGAATATTGTATCAAGTAATGAATGGAGTGTTTAATTTCCTACCCTTGATCTAGTTTTTATCACACGTTTGTGATTGGATCAGAGGTGAAAACAGCGGGTTTTTTTTAAATTTTTAACTGATTCTTAAATTTTCACTTTCAACTCTTAATCGCATATATTTGAGACCAATAAAAATGTCCTTCCTTTCTAAATATGTCAGCCCTATGCAAAAATTATTATTATTATAAAAAAAACATGTTCAATTTCCAATAAGACATCTAGATTCAAAGGCAATACTCACATATCAGTGGTGTGTGGGTTGCACTCGCACTGGTGGTCGCAGCGTGAGCCCCAAAGACCGTCAGGGCAGGCGCGCCTCTCGCACCAGTCTCCCCTCCAACCGGGCTTGCACGTGCACGAGCCGTCCCGGGGCGAACATTCACCCCCGTGCTGACACGTGCACGTGCCCGCACAGTCCACACCGTACGTGCCGAGCGAACACGCTTCTAGGCACTGTGGATAAATTTGAACTTTTATGATACAGGCTTGGACATTCGTGAGATTAACGTGTTCTAATTCACGTTCTGAGAAAGTTCGTCGTTCCGCAATTGCGCGTTTTTTAAGGCTAGTAATTCGTCCAGTAATTGTTTATGTTTTACAAAGAAAGAAAAATATTTCATCGATCCGTCGTTCCACAACTGAGTGTTTTTTTAAGGCAGTTTCTGCCGCGCACCACCAATTTGTGGAACCAGCTGCCCACTGAACTATTTCCGAACCAATTCGACTTAGGTTCCTTCAAGAAAAAAGCGTACCTATTCTAGAAAGGCCGACACTTTCGAGCCTTCTGGCAATTTGAGTGTCCATGAGCGGCGGCGGCATTATCACTTAACATGAGATGAGCCTTCTATTACATAAAAAAAATAGTCCAATTGTACCGTTTTGAATATGACTCCTTTCATCGCAGCGTAAACACGATTTGAAAGAGTACTTAAGTTATATTTTTTTAAGAAATAGGTGAGCCATAATATAAGGCCCATAAAAGGCAACTACTGCATTTAGTAAGTGGATGCGTTGACGGCCTTTGTGAGGAGTATGCTGTTTTTAAAAAACCTCGACTGCAAAAAAAAAATTCTAGCCTCATAGTCAGTGGTAATTGGGAACTATATTGGCTCATGCGTATTAGTCCATCTGAAATCGTCTTAAACAAATTTAATAAGAAACAAAAAAATATAAATATTTTTTATTAAATATTACCTTATCCCCCGTAAAGCCGGCCTCACACTGGCACTGTCCCGTGACATGATGGCATCCAGCTCCATTAGCACAACTGCAGGTTTTCTGGCATTTCTCTCCCCATCTTCCCGTTGGGCATCTAAAATATGTTTTTTATTTATAAAGAAGATTTAAAGCTTATTAATATAAAGTACTAAATTTAAAAAAAAATCACAACATTACATACATTCACTTAAAATCTTAAACAACGTCTTGACAACCTATGCTGATACAAAAAACATTCTTATTGTGCGAAAATAGTTTGATTATAAATTGTGTTATGTAGAAATTATTGTCAAGTACAGTTTACATGTTCACCGGAGAGCAACCTATTTGTGAAGCGTATGGGGGTAATATCCTGTGATTTGAAAATGTAATTGGAAAAGATTCGTTGATAGCAGAAGGTTTTCTATCAATTTTGTAAAATAATTTAGTTGTATATTATTTTTAGTTAAATTTGGCTATGCATAGGCTGTAAATAAATAAATGTCAAAAGGAAGAGACTGGCTGCCCACAACACAGAATCCTAGTGTGGGGGGTTAGTGCACTTAATTTTACCTAAATATCCTGTTATTGTGAATAATAAAGATTTTCTATCTTTGAAATATAAACAACTTTCTACGCCAAATATTCTCCTTGATCTAGGCTAACTGGTAAATAACAAAGACAGCAATAAAGAAACTAAATTAGTTGAGGAACACTTAGTCAGATACAACATTTTTCACTAAGGACTTCAAAAATAAGAATCATATTGTTGCATAGTTTAAAATCGTTTAGTTTTTATAATTTAATTGTTTTGTTTATTATTTCATCGTATATTATGTTTTCTTATTAAATTTAAAAAAAAAAAATATGTATCAGTGTGTCGAGAGTTGGCAAGCTTTTATAAATAAATCACTGTGTGTGTAACGGTCTCTTTACTGCAATAACTATATTAAATTAACTTTTAAATCCTATAAAATGGTTAGCACAACTACCTGTTGGCACAAACATCGCCGGTCCATCCAGCAGGACACTCGCATTCTCCCGTTAGGATGTCACATCTGCCCCCATTTTGGCACTTACACCGCTCGGGGCATGGGCCATCTTTGGGGCATTCCTCTTCGCAACTGTAATTAAAATATGATTTTAAATAATTTTTTCTAAATGTATACGTCGCAGCCAACTAACTTAATTAGCCGTTCATTCAACAGTTTAATAAACAGCGCCGTTCAACTAGCGACATGTATACCAGACGATAGAACTTACTTATAATTATATTTTTTTTCGAACAAGAACAATATTAATTTAATAATTGTTTAGTTCGTTATAAATTAATAAATATAGTGTGATTAATTTCATTAATTGTTATTTGCTATCCATTACTATAATAACGGGGAACAAAGTCATTACAGCAAAATTTTGTTCAGGAAAAATAAAAGACGGTAATGCTATTATTACTAGGATACTAACTACATTTCATATACAATAATACATGTCAAATTAAAGCTTTTTTTCCGATTCGACGATTTAAATATTGTTGTTATGTATTTAGTGTAAATAGTTAAGAAATTAGAATGAAGAGCAAAAACGTTACTGTTTTCACTGTTTAAACATAACGGACGACACAGTAACCGCACATTACGATGGTGATTTTGTCGAATGTCTAGAATGTAATATTTTATTACCAGTCTTTTCGCGGAAATAAACTCAGATATATTACAACCACTCTTTATTTGGTCTTAATGATTATTTGTTAGAATTATAATCTAAACTAATACAATTTTTATCGTTTTTGCTATATATTTTAGGAAAGTAAAAGTAGGTAAACTAGTATTACTAACATTGTTCACAAAATAGTTTTCGTAGAATAAAGACATCCTCGCGTTTTTTTTATAATAAAATGTTTTGCAAAAATTCTGAAAAAACTTACAGTTATAGTACATCACCCAAGGAAGTCAAAAATGAGAAAACATTAAAACAGTCGTAATAGTTCTTAACGACTTGGCTTCGATTTCTTTTAAAAATCTTGTACGAAAAATAATTAGTAAAAAGCCACAAATACTCACAGTGGTCCAACAAATCTATTCAAACATTTGCAAGCGCCACTCGCCGGGTCACACGATGCATTATTCCTGCATTGGCAAGTCTGTTGGCAATTATCGCCAAAGGTTGGCGGTGCGCAAGTCTTCTCACACGCGTCCCCACGCCACCCCATTGCGCACGCGCAATTGCCGGTCAAGGGCTCACAGGTGCCGCCGTTCAAACAGCGACAATCGTTCTGGCAATGTCTGCCCCATTTGCCATCTGGACAGGCTGGAAATATGTAAATAATCATGAGTATATAATGTCCTGTGACTACTAGCTAGCGCTTTAGATTTTTAATATCAGTATGCACTAAGGGGCCGTTCAAGTAATACGTAAGCAGATAGCAATTTTTTCCCCCGGCCTCTCCTTTTGTCATGAAAAGTAAGCAAAGTTCTCAAAAATAATAGTACATAAACGTATTCATTTTTTGTAGGAATCCTCGAATCCTAAATGCATTATTTCGTTTTCAAGCATAGGCAATGTGTGGGTAAAAAGTAAATAATTACTGTTAACGTAATCACCAAATAAGAAAAACAAACAATAATACTGCATACGTGAAACTTGGTCACGTAACAGTTAATAATAATACTCAATATGTAGGAATTAAGATTATTAAATTCGGGGAATCGTTCAAAAAAGTCGTGGCTGCGAGTGTGTTAATTTGAAAATATTTAAATATGGTGATAATAAATGTCTTTTGTAACAATATTTACGAAAAATACTAATTTGTACTATTTATTTATTTATTTCTACTATTTCTTCTACTACCATAGTCAGAAATATTCACCAGGGGGTGAGAATATAAAACAAAAGACGAAATGTAATGTAACGTTTGATGCTGACTCTCTATGCCAACTGTTGTAATGTTCGCTTACATTCTTACATTCCTTCCTTCCCTTTTGAAGGTTCCATTTTATGAAGTTTTTTGTTTGAGTTGTAAACGAAAAATTACTTTCCTGTCATAGATTTAATAGAAGATTCAAATAACAACGTACCCACTCAAATAGTACGCCACAATTCTAGTTAAAAACAATTTTACCGGAACAACAAAACAGTTACATTTAACAATTAATCGTTTGTTGCGAATGTGGAACAAATTAACACTATTTACATTGGAATGTTTGCCGTTTCGCCAAAAATAGACTCACTACAATGAAAATATTTTTGCTTGTACGGTAATCATTCTGCTATTGGCTCTAAATTCTATACTTAGTTTGTTTACGTCAACACTCAGAGCTTGATTACACAAAATATTATAGTGGCTATTAGCTGTGTTTAATAAATAATTTTCGCAAGTCATTATTTTAGAAATATTCTCATGGCTGTTTTAATATATTGGAAGTTAAAACAGCCTATGTTAGGCGGGTACTACCTCGTCGAACGTAGAAGCATTCGTAACAAAACAAAACTTTCACGCTGTACGGTGTAAATGGAAATGGGCAGGTCATAATATATCAAGAGCTCGGGATAAATGATGGACACTTGAAACATCAAAATGTACTAATGGAAAGAGATATACAAAAGAAAAGATAACGTGATAGCACTAGCGGGGAAAAACTGAATCAAATTATTTTTATTTCATTTTTATTTTTTATTCTAAATGACCGCGAAACTGAACGTCATTCAATATGTCATCGCTCAGTACCCCGATGCTGGCTGTGGCTTAAAGGAGAGTGTCTTCAAAGAGTGGAGTAGCGATTTCTTGTTACTTAACAAGAATTTAGGAGATAAAACAAAATTTTGTCAATTCTTCTTTTCTTTATAATATGAATTACTTAATAAAGCTTTAATAATAAAAATGTTACTGAGGGATGTAGCATTATAATGGTGAAAGAACGTTTGAAAGTCATGCTGCTACAAATGACACCTGAACCAATATTTAAAAAAAACAATTTTAACGTTACGCGTAGGATGTTGCGCTCGAGTTAGCGACCCATCTCTAATTAGATGAACATATATCTACTTACATATATCACAAGCGGGACCCCCGTATCCATGCTCACACAGGCATGTGTCAGGCGCGACGCACTTCCCGTGTACACACGAGTCCACGCACACAGGCACACACTGCTTCCCGTGAACATCAGGCGCATAGCCCTTACAGCATTCCTCTACCGGTCTATGTTTGACCAGGGTTTGGGTTTTATACACTTGGCGGAACATCACTTTGTATTTCGTACATCGTGGTGGTACGTTGAGACACCACGCGTATTCCTTCACTTGGTATGGTTGTTGTTCTGACACTCGTATAGTTGTCACGTATCTGTAATTAATAAATACTGATTAACACAGAACACATAATGAAACAAAAGTCTAATTAGCTGAAGTACTCTTTCGTCTCTTTCTGTCAAATCATATTAAGTGTATAAAAATAGACAGATTTAGTTTTTTCGGCTTTCAAACCCAAAAACATTTATTGAATATGAATATAACTTATTATATTTACTTATAATATAAACTGAACAGGCACGATAAAACAGTGCACGTCGAATTGGTAGATCAAATTGTATGTACACGTAAATAGTTTAGGTTTAAATAAGTTTATTCTCATTTAAAAGATACATGCCACTTACATGAGAAAAAATGGTTTTCTGTAAAGTCGGTTTACGGACGATAGTTTAACGTAACAACCTCATAACAAAATATTGATGAAATGATTGCATACTTTTATGAATAAAACTGAATCATTTTTATTGAATTATCACTATTTTGTATGGATACAAAGAAGGAGTGAATCCTCGGACGCATAGGCAAATCGAGTGGAAGAGACATAGATGCAGCGCATGCGTACAATGCGCGTAACAGTACAATGAGCGTTACGGGACAATGAGTCATGCTTTTTTCGTGTATGCAGCCGGCATTTGTCGATTAGACGTGTTCACGTAATTTTTGGCGTGACAACGTCTAATTTCTAAGACTTTTTTATGTTTTTTTAATATTATTATAAAACATAAAATATATCACGCCACCGCGCCGTCGCGTCGTACGCTCACCGTTGACATCGTCGAGTCCATCTACCAAAAACTTCGTAGGCGTATTCAAAACGGGTCTATTTCTACTATTTCCCGTATCTCAGGTGGCAAGCTGTTGTAAAGACTCGCTCCGAAATAGGTTTTATTTTTGCGACCGTATTCGGTTATTTTATTTTAGATGTATATGATTAGTGTTATGCCGGTTACGTGTAGCATTGAAGTGAAATTTAATGCTCGTGTGTTTTTGGTTAATTGTTTTTAAGTTAAATATTTAATGCCGAGGGATCCAACACGGCTGCGGGTGCCTGCTTGTTGAACCACGATGTATTCAAAAATTGTTACGCCATGGTTATCAAACTGCCGTATAATGCTTTCAAGGGGAAGGTGATTAAATTTTTAAAAGCAAGGTACCTTTATAGTGTGGTCTAGTATTTACACTATAAGTTTGACAACAACTATAAATAACTCAACGTATTAATATGACATTTGCATGCCTAATTTTATATGGCTGATTGTGTGATTTTTTATAATTAATCGATCTAAATGTGGTACTTTCTTTGCAAATATGCGATTTATTATTAATTTTGTGTCAATGTATAGTTTGTTAGTGGAAGTAGGAGTAGAATAAAAAAAAAGGGTGCGTGTACTTATGTACGCGCGTAAGAAGTTATACTTCTTTGGCATTATTAAAAATAGTTATTGATTGCATGCAAATAATTAATTACAATTAAATAATCAAAGACTGGAAAAGGAGTCATTATAGTCAATGAAGTTCAGTTTACATTTGAAAAATAAAATAAATAAATATTTATTATTATTCTCTTACATTAAGTGTAACATAAATTCTATTATTATTCGAATGTTGTTTTTAAATTATGTCCAATGCCGTAGCATCTTCCGTGGGCAAGTTCATTCTGTTAATTTTGTGTCACGGTGCGCGCGCATCGTAAAATTTCACTCTCATCAATTTTTCATAACGCACCTAAAGAAGTATAACTTCAAAAAGAAGATTATAATTAGTTTTACGGTATTCCTTTTCTAATACTTTCATTATTATGAAAATCAAACTAACCGTTTTAAAGATTTTTATTTTTGCAACGAATCTCATCTCATCATACTACATACAAAGTTATTATTTAATGCGAAGGGTCAAATTACATGACCTTGCAACAACTCTATCTATAATGGAAACTTGTATACCCTTATCAATATTTAAATGATTCATAAATTAAAATCTCACTGATTTTACGACTTTTACGCATTAAAATATATGTTGTAGTTTCGATAAGAAAACTCTACACGAATTGTACAATAGTTTCGTATCCGTTAACGTATTGACGTAATATCGCTAGGAAAATCTAGCGATATATAATTTACACACAAAAAACATTCTATTAACTATTTGATTTTAAGTTCTTATGGTTTCGGTATTCGATTTAGCGCCCGGCCTCTAGTGTAGGTATTGAAAACGGCTTAGCGTAACTTAGCATGACCAGATATCTTTTTTACTAAAAGTTAATGTAACAGTGAAATATTTTTTTACACTCCAGAGGTTAAAACATTCGTTAAACATAAATAAAACTACAAATCTCTTTTCTTTATAATAAAACCGGTGGCGCTATAAACCCATTGTCTTGGCTAGTCCTCGTGAAAGAATGAAAGAAAAGCTTTATTATATAATAAGGAAATTGAGGTAAAAAGTACACAAAGATTCCCTGCATGCGTTGCCAGAGGGCGTCCCGATTTGTGGCGGGGGGGGTCCGGATTTATAACAAAATGAAATGTCCGCAGGCACAGGGCTGAATCCGTCTTTTCGGGAATAACTGGGCGATGGCAATAAGAAGTGTGTACTACCACCACCGCACAATAATGGTACCAACTCTTTCAAAGTATCCAAAAAATACCAATATCTTCAAACTTTATATTAAGTATCCTACCGTCAAACTGCTTTCCAAAACGCCCCTTTTGAAATGCTAAATTTAATGAAATCAGAGTTACTCATCAAGTTTAATCTGCATGTGAAGAGTTCTTCGTCTTTTTTAAAGAAAAATGAAACTTTTAAAGAAGTTATATCTTCATAGAAATATTATGAATAAGTAATTCTTATAAATAATAACTGTCTTATTGTAACTTGCAATTTGAAACACTCACCTTTTTAGACTATTGTTTGTCAACGCTATATTTTTCTAATAAATAAAACTTTTCTTATGATTTTTTGTTTTTAATCAGAAGATGACTAAGAAGTAAGAACCATTTAACGATAGGTTTAATCTGATTTAAATACTTTTAAAACAATATTTAAAAACTTCTGATTATTATTTAAAAAAATACTATGTCCCGCTTTCGACAAATGAATCCCCCTTTTTCGCTTTAAAAGTGCCAAAAACCCGACTTGACTAAAAAAACTGGTAACGCTGATTCCCTGTGTCGTGGGCAGCCAGTCTCTTCCTTTCGACACGTTAACGGTACTTGACAATAATTTCTACATTACACTTATTTAATTAAACAATTGTTGCACAATAAGAATATTTTCCGTTTCAGCATAGGACAGATTGAGGTGTTGTTTAAGATTGTTAGTGAATGTATAATGTTTTGAATCGTTAGTAAAAATTAAGTTTTTAAAAAATTGGTATAAGATGAACATATTCCTCTCGTTATGATGAACAAGACGTTTGGTGAAGAAAGTGCGTTTTTTGGGTAGCTTATAGGTAGGGGTTGGCCTAGTAGCTTCAGCCAGCGACTGTCATCCCTGAGGTCGTAGGATCGATCCCTGGCAGTGCATCAATGGACTTTATATGTGCGTATTTAACATTCGCTCAAAGGTGAAGGAAAACATCGTGAGGAAACCGACATGTCTTAGACCCAAACAGTCGACGGCGTGTGTCAGGCACTGGAGGCTGATCACCTACTTGCCTATTAGATTAAAAAATGATAATGAAAAAGTTTCAGAAATTTGAGGCCCAGACCTAAAGAGGTTGTAGCGTCACCGATATTTTTTTTATAGGTAGGTTTACGTTGTGTATAATTGTGTGGTCGGTGTTTTTTTTTATTTTTTTTTTATTGTCAAAGTCTGCATATAACCGTTCACATATAAGAACTAGATAGCTTAGAAACTCATTGACAAATACATCTGAGTCAGAATGAATCGCCTGTAAATCACAATGCTAATAACCAACTACATACACACTATGAATGAAAGCCCCATTGAGAACTCGTCATGAAACGATCGTAGTTAGGCGATAGCTAAATCCCGCAAGAACCTAGTTTTAGTGATACTCCAGCGGCTATTACTTCTTTGATCATAGATCACACGGTATTTGAACTGCCTCAGGATTACGAGTCAAAAAATAAAATAAAATATGTTTATTATGGAAAATAAGATAAATGTATCACTTATTCCACGTCATTAAATTTGAATTTGTAGGCATCCCTACTCATCGGCAAAGAAGACAGAGGGTGTAGGCCGAGAGGAAAAGCCGGCGTAAAAAACTCTCGGTACTCTTTTAAAATAGCAAATCATAACTTGTTATTTTCTTGATAGCCATACCTTCAGAATTTGAAAAAATGTAGGAAGTAAGGAACAGATCCAAATGGAAAGTGCATGGATACATGTGGTCCATGTAATGGACATAACAATAACTTAGACTAACGGCCGCTTTCTATACTCAATCCTAATCCAATTTGTACTACTGGAGATTGATATTTCAATCCATTTCTCATCAAATACTTACAATAAGCGATCGATGGATCGTTTTTGTAAAACGTCTTTGAATTCGACAGAGTTCCGCTAGTGTATAATAACAAAACTAACACCAATTTTGTTGTTTTTATAGATACGGAATTAAACTGGCTTTATATTATGACTCCCTTCAAAATCATATATACATTTTTTATATACGGCATTTTGTTAGCGCTAGGTCTCATCTCTGAATCTTAGTCTATCGTCTATTATATATAATAATAGTAAAATACGCACGTGCTTAATGATTACATGACCAATGTACGCCAGATATGACACATATCTAGAACTATGCTTAGCCGTCTATAATAACAGTTTCCGGAAATAGTGCAAAATTAAGGAAATTGTTCAGCGATTTCATTTGAAAACATGTGCTGGTTCGCGCATCACCACAGTAAAAAATAATTTATTGAAGCCGTATGTGTTGAAAGACTAAAGTGTTAACACATAATTTTAATCAAATTTATTTGCCTCTTCGCTTAAACGCCTTACAGTTAAATGGAAAAATCACAATGCAACACATGAAGCAATAACAAAATTACTTTTCTAAGT